CGTAGGTGCAGGGAAAGACCAACCGAATGAACACAAGACACAAGAGACAGAGTCCAGTTTAGAAACAGAGAGAAAAAGGGACAGACTTTATTGGGGGCAATCAGGGTATATATCCATTAGTAAGGCAGCTACACAAAAGGTCATGCCCATATATGGTTAGGAAGGTTTGTTTTCACATATCATGCATTACAAGGTTTGTGTGTATCTCGTACCAGACACGAGGTGATTACACAAAGGGCCATGTCCATATGATTTACCAGACATGAGGTAGATACACAAAGGGCCATGTCCATATGATTTACCAAGTTTATACGTATCATGTACCAGACACGAGATAGTTACTTCTTGTTATTACTGACAGCAATGACAGATGTTCTCTCAGGATAACCATACATCAAGATAACCATACATAGCACTGGCTTTGCCTGCCGCGGTGTCACGATGACCATACCTAGCACAGGCACGTAGGCCCTTGGTCAGTTAAAGGGCCAACTTCCCGCAGCCTTTCACTTTCAAACTAAAGGGCATCTGGGCAGTTCCAAATACCTTATTTATTCCAAAATTATTGCTCTCGGGGACGGTATATCAGGATGCAAAGGAGCACATACTTGAAATTCCACAGGTTTCAGTGTTTCCTTATCCAGTCCCTAGTTTTAGTTCCCCAAAACATGTGTGCCCAAAGTTCAATGCTATTATCTGATGATGAGGTGCTACTTGGGTCCTTTGGTAGAGGGGTGACCAAAGTCACACTGGTGGTTCTCTGAGGCCTCGGGTGCTGTACCTGGGATGCTCAGGAAGTCCCGTGCGGGCAGGATTTGAACTGGATGGGGCTCATTTATTGTACTATTTCTCATTTCCTGATTAGTATATTTTCTTTATTTACAATATTTTCTTTATTTACAATATGGCTGGAGCGATAGCACAGCGGGTAGGGCGTTCGCCTTACAAGCGGCCAACATGGCCGACCCGAGTTCGATTCCTCCGCCCCTCTCGGAGAGCCCGGCAAGCTACCGAGAGTATTCGATATGCCAGACACAGTAACAACAAAGTCTCCAATGGAGACGTTACTGGGCCCGCTCGAGCAAATCGACGATCAACGGGAGGCCCTTTACCTTTACCTTTACCTTTTACAATATTTTAGTAAGTAGAACTTAATACCTCAAAGTATGCAAATCATGTTTTTTAATAAATGCTTAATTGAATGAAGTTTTGCAAGTAGATCAACCCACGTAATACAGGCAATATGTACCAATCAAATGCTGAACATTTTGTCCTCTGAGAAAGCAGATTATGTGCCTTCAGTCAACCAAACTCTAACCAACTGCTGTTTTTGATGTTTTTCTGAAGATTTGTTTGGTCTCTTCTACAATGTTATATAAGTAAAACCGCAGAGAATGTTCTCAAAAAGTGTGTTTGATTCCCATCCTCATTGCCCAGAGACAAGCAGTGAATCTGTGTGGCAGTGTAAAGCCAATTGGATTGGCCTATTTGACCTGCATCCAGCAGGGTTGGTGGCAAAGAATGAGACAATGGATGCAGTGGTATATCCAGGTGTGAAGATCACCTAAACAGCCCTAACAAGGTTCCCAGCTGGTTATTTATTGAACACAGTACCTGAATCTCCTCCCCCCCACCCCAGTCTCTCTGGTTCCAGACCCGTGAGCCATCATATGTGGTAACAGACAACTGAAGGACATTACCGGGTACATGGAGTGCAATGCTTGGGATATTTACAGAACTTGATCAAAGGGCAATGCAACATCAGCAAGAGTCTTTCAAGTATAGTCCAAATGATAATTTGTGTTGCCAGCATGATAGCACAGCAGTTAGGACAGTTGCTTGCATACTGTGATGCATATTCAATGTTTAGCATCCTGTAGAGTTCCCACAGCTCTGAGTTTAAAGCCAGTAGTAAACCCTGAACACTGCTGAGTGTGGCTCCCAAACAGAAAGCATACCATGATAATTTCTTATTCTTGTCCTGCCTGATTGCACCTTTGCTGCCTTCATTGAAACTAAACTAGACTTATTTAACTGAGAGGATTATTTCAACATTGGATTTCAAATTAAGAGACTGATTTCCCCTTGATGTGCCTGATACTATTCTTCCTATGTTCCTTGACCTCTTGTTGCATGTGTTCATGGAAGCTGACAGGTGTTGAGGGCACAGATTTCCTGGGTGGTAACAAGGCTAATAAAAGGTGTGAGGTCATGGAGGGCAAGAAGGGCGGAAACTTGAGTGCACTCCGGACTTGCTGAGGTGAAGGTGGACTCGGTGACTGAGGGGCTCCCTGTGAGTCACAGATGCCCCTCCAATCACACCTCAGCCCCTTCTGGAAGAAGCTGACTCAGTTTCCGGAGAGAATCCCTGGTGTGTGTACATTTTTTTGTGTACAGAAGTGTTTGGGAACATGACTAGGGAACTATGATCCGATCTGCCCCAACACTACCCTGGCCTGAGCTTCTCTGTCTGGATCCAGTTGACTCTATGCGATTGGTCTCAGTGTTCCCTACCTTAGTCACTGGGCATCAGCAGGTGCCCAGATTACAGGTCCAAAAGCACATGAGGCCTAAAACACAAAAAACCATTTTCACAGCCAAGATGATCTTCACATTATATCCTCCCCTATCTCCTTCTCCTCTGTCTCCTCTTCCCCCTACTCCTCTTCCTTCTCCTCAGCTTCATCCTCCTTCTCTTCTGTCTTCACATTTTTCTTCATTGCCTCTTTTTTATGTTTTTCGTTTCTTTTCTTAAATAAATCACTGTGAGATAGTTACAGACTTACAAACTTTTCTGATTATATTTCAGTCATACAATGATTGAGTACCGATCCCTCTACCAGTGCCCATTTTCCACCATCAATATTCCCAGTATCCCTCCTTCCCCCATAACCCCCTTTCCACGCCTCTGTGATAGGCATATTCCTGTTTACTCTCTCTCCTTTTGGGTGTTATGGTTTGCAATAAATGTACTAAGTGGCCATCATGTTTCATTACACAATAGAAAACAAATTGTCTAATGATGTCTTTTAGGCAGGTCTGAGCATGGGGGGAAATTCTGAATAATAATGGTGGGACTGGTGTCAAAATATTGAATGTAATCAAAGTAGAGAGAAAGTAATGTGAAAATTTTCTGCTACATAGGTAGGGGTAAGGGTGGGTAGGATGGGGGAATATACTGGGGGTCTTGGTGGTAGAAAATGTGCACTGGTGAAGTGAATGGGTATTTGTTAATTGTATGACCAAAATTTAAACATGAAAGCTTTGTAACTGTTTCCGTGGTGATTCAATAAATACATTAAAAAATTTTTTTTATTAGTAAAATACTATGAGGTACAGTTGTACCTTATTTGTAAATACTTACAAATATTTGTGCTTGGGTTTCAGTTATACAATTATCGAGTACCCATCCCTCCACCTGTGCCCATTCTCCACCAGCACTGATCCCAGTATTCCTCCCACCCCACATCCCCCTGATCCCACCCTGCCTCTGTGGCTGGGCATTCACTTTTGTTCTCTCTCTCCTTTTGGGTGCTGTGGTTTGCAAAAGAGGCACCGAATGGCAATCATGTTTAGTCTATAATCTACTTTCAGTATGCTTCTCCCATCCTGGGAGGATCTTCCCAACACCCTTTATTTGGTGCTCCCTTCTCTATCTGAGCTGCTTTCCCCCCCTAGTGTGTGCGGCTGGCCTCCAAGCTATGGAGTGAACCTCCTGGTACTTATCTTGGCTATTCTTGTGTGTTAGTCTCCTATTTTGTTACTATATGTTGCCCCATATGAATGCAATCTTTCTATGTCTCTCCCTACTTTTCTGACTCATTTCACTTAGCATGATACTTTCCATGTGGTACCACTTGTATGTAAATTTCATGACTTCATCTTTTCTAACAGCTACATAGTACTCCATTGTGTAGATGTACCAAACTTTCTTTGACCAGTAATCTGTTCTCAGGCACTCAGATTTTTTCCAGATTCTGGCTATTGTAAAGACTGCTGCAATAAACAAACAAGTGCAGATGTCACTTCGACTGTACTTTTCGACTGTACTTTTTTGCCTCGCTGGATATATTCCCGGTAATGTTATTTCTGTGTCAAATGGGAGCTTAATTTCTAGGTTTTTGAGAATCGTCCATACTGTTTTCCAAAAGGGCTGAACCAGTCGGCATTCCCACCAGCAGTGAAGGAGGGTCCCTTTCTTGCCACATCCGCGCCAACACCGGTTACTTTTGTTCTTTTGGATGTGGGCCAGTCTCTTGGATGTGAGATGATATCTCTTTGTGGGATTGTTTTTTTCATATCACTTTCTTCTCTCTCACTATTTGTGTATAGGATGGCCATGGACTTTTGTGTATTGATTTTATAGCCTGCAACTTTACTATATGAGTCTAGTGTTTCTAGTAGTTTCTTGATAGAGGTTTTAGGGTTCTCTAAGTATAGTATCATGTCATCTGCGAATAGTGAGAGCTTGATTTCTTCCTTTCTTACCTGGATGCCCAAGTATTCCCAATACTATATTGAACAGCAGTGGAGAGAGTGGGCATCGTTTTCTCGTCCCTGAGCTTAGTCGGAAGGCCTCAGTTTTTGTCATTGAGGATGATGTTTTTGTAGGCTTATGGTAGATGGTTTAACTATTCAATAAAGAATTTTTTACAAAAAAAAGAAAGAAAGACATTGTGGGAAAGTTCCAATTGTATGTATAAATAAGCAAGAAAATAAACTGACAAAACAAAATTCTCTGACTGAAAAAAATAAAGAGCTAGATGGGGAATAAGAGGATCCAGAGGAGAGAAGAAATAGACCGTATGAACTTGAATAAATTAAGTCTATCGTTATTGAAAAAAAAGATTCATACTCAGATTCCACTTAATGTCTTTTGAGTGACCTCACAGTTGCATAATATCACGACCCTTGAACTTGCCTCAGGGATTGTTTGAACTTCTTTATAATGTGGATCTTACAATAAATGAAGCAACCTCCAACTGTGGATAACACTTTCCTCTAAAGATAAGCAGCCAGAATGTCTGTTGAAAAAAAAAATTAATGGTGTACTTTTTCCAACCGTGATTTTCACACCTGCTTTCATGACAGAAGAGTGGCATAATTTTTTGTTTACGGATGAAGATGTCTTGCTGAAAACCTACCCAAAATCAGGTAAAGAAGCTGGAGCAGGTGCAGAGACGGGTAGTGGCTCTGTCTGTGGGCATTAGGGAAAGAAGAGAGGCTTTCTATAGGCCAGACCACCAGTGTCCAGGGAGCTGGATATGGAATTGATGTGTGTCCCACAGAGCCCCCTCCCATCCACATCAAATATCAATGAAAAAAGAGTTTAGGTTGATAAAAATTACTATTAATAATATTGGTGATCACCTCAGTAGGGGTAGGTTCAGGAAATGGGAGGGATTGTTTGGTGATGCATGGAAGCTCAGATGCAAGGATGTCCTCTGTGGCACACTGGAAACACGGTCATGTTTTAAACTGGTACTCCTCTATATGAATGAATTTTCATAGAAAGGATAGAACATCATTCCAATGGTTGATTTTTAACCCCTTTTTCTATTGAAGATGATTTATGTCATTAGAAATCCCAGAGATGTTCTTGTGTCTGGACATTTGTTCTGGAAAGGTGTAAAATATGTTCAAGTAGCAGAATCAATGGAACAATATTTTGATTGGTTCCTCGAAGGAAATGGTGAGTGATGTAAAATACAGTGGTTTTGTGGGGGTGTCAGGGTCTTTTATGAGATCTCATGTTACACCCAGATGATAACTCAGTGATTTTCCAACAAATGAGCACCCGTCTTGTCACTAGGGAACCCAGTTTTTGTAGGTACCAATTCTCCGCTGGAGTGCAGCCTCACAAACCTCCAGCGTCAGGACCTATTGGACACACTGGAGTATTAGTCCTCTCTTCCTTCTTCCCCTGGGGGTAGAGCCTGGAGATCAGCTTTTCATCCAATACCTCGATGAAAGAACTCGACTTCACGTAACATCTGGGGTATATCTTCGCTAGCTCTCATAATCTCTTGTCCCATATGGAGAAGTTTCCATGGTTTGAAGTCTTACATTTAATACGTGACCGATTTTGGTGCTAGAGAAACCACAGAGTGGCGAGACACTTGCCTCACACATAACAGACCTTTGTTTGATTCCTCACACCCCATATAGTTCCCTGAGCTTGTTGGGAGTGAATACTGAACACAGAAACAGGACTAAGCCCTGAGCACCCCAGACATCAGTCAAAACTCAAATTTTCGACCCACTTTGACTCAAAGATAGTGAGTGGTGTAAGACAGACTTTGGGTTCATACTTTTCCACCCTAAGACCCACTTTTTGCAGCAACATTTATCAAGCAATCATCTGAACAATTATTGTACTCTTGCCGCTCTTGTTTATGACTCTGATGTGTAAACAATAAAGGCTGATGACTGGATGATGTCTACATTCTCTTCAGCCCACCAGATGAGTGCGTGTTTGAGGCCAGTATTCCATCGTATTGATGCCATAACTTTGTGATCAAAGTAGAAATCATGGTGTCTGAAGCCTTTAGTTTTGTTCCTCTTTTTTTTTTTTTGAGAGAGAGCGAGAGAGCGGGTTACTTAGAGCATTTTCTATTTTGCATATTGTAGAAACACATTTCTATGTCCTCAGAAATGTCATGGAATTTTGAAAAGAATTGAAACAACTAAACATGATTTTTAGATTCTCTAGATCCCTCTGTACTCTGCACACATCCACCACAGCAATGTTCCTAAAGATCCAAGAACACAGGTGTCTTTTCATTGATTTTTGTTTCCTTCACACTCTTCCATCAGTGTCTTGTCTTAACTGCACATGATTTTGACATACCCTTATTCTATGGGTATTCCTGAAATGGGATTGGTTTCTTCTTTTCCCTCTACACAATTCATTGTTTCGATATAGGAACTCACTTCCCTCTGCATTTACTGACAGGATATTAGAATTGATGTTACTGATCAGTGATTTTCATGCCTACCTGCCCTCGTATTATTAAAAGTAAAGTAAAAAAGTAAAGGCCCTCCCGTTGATCGTCGATTTGCTCGAGCGGGCCCAGTAACATCTCCATTGGAGACTTTGTTGTTACTGTGTCTGGCATATCGATTAGAGAGGGGCGGAGGAATCGAACTCTGGTCGGCCATGTTGGCTGCGTGCAAGGCAAACGCCCTACCCGCTGTGCTATCGCTCCAGCCCTCACTCCTGGCTTGGGCTCAGGGACCATTATTGCTGGCAAGGCTCAGGAGACCTTGTAGGAGGCCAGGGGTGGACCAACGTCCGCCTCATGCAGTCAGGTGACTTCCCCACTGTCCTATCTCTGCCCCCATCTGGCCCAGCATTTTTCTTCTTCCAGTTCATGACCTAGTCATCCGCTGTGACCCATGTGGCTGTCTCCCATGTGGCAGTCCCCCATCATGTGGAGCCTCTGGTTGTCCCTGGGCCGTGTGCACCTCTGTCCATCCAGGCTTAGGGTTCCCTGCAAGAGTGCTCCCATCGGCATTCTCACTATTCCTGGGGCCGGCTCCCTCCATGGGCACCTTCTTCCCGGCTCCGTTCTGATGCTCCACCCTAGCCCGCTGCCTCTCCTCCGAGGCTGCCAAGGCACAGACCTTACTCCATCCCACCTTCTGGTTTCCAGACTGAATCACTCAGGAAGGAGAGAGGCAAGCTCGTTCTCACCTGTCTTCGTATTATTAGTCTAAATTTATACCTCATGTTGGCCAAATTATCTCTGTCCTCACTACCTTCCTACCTGTTTAATTTTGAGGTGCTAGGAATGTCAATTCAAAACAGGAACCACACCCCTGTTCCATGTTTTGTCATCCTGCTCTGTCTCTGGTATAGCTGAAATAGGATCCAATATTTCTGGTGTTAATATTCACTTTCTTATCAGTGATGTAGCTTTGGGATGGAGCAATAGCACAGTGGGTAAGGCGTTTGTCTTGCACGTGGCCGACATGGCCCACACAGGGGGTCATCCACCCCTCTCGAAGAGCCCGGCAAGCTTTCGAGAGTATCTCGCCCACACAGCAAAGCCTGGCCTACTACCCGTGATGTATTCAATGCCCAAAACAGTAACAATAAGTCTCACAATTTGTTGTGAGACATTACTGGTGCCCGCTTGAGCAAATCGATGAACAATGGGAGGAGAGTGCAGTGCAGTGTGATGTAGCTTTTGACTCAATTGGAAAGTACAATTCAGTGCAAGTATGACAAACGAGCTTCATGCATGAAGAAACGGGCAGAGGAACTCAAGTGTGCGGGACCTGGGGCTGTGATCTTCAAGCCTGCTTGGATCGGGACTGGGTCTCCTCCACCCAGATCCCCCATCTTCCAGTAGTTAGGCGTTACATCCACCAACTGCCCCGGCGCTGTGTTATCCCATCAACAGTCAAAATTCAGGGACTATAAAACCCAGCTCCCGGTTTAGTTTATTGTCTAGTCCTCACTCTTGGAGAACCCGACAGGTTACCGAGTGTATCCTGCCCAAGGCAGATTCTGGCAAGCTCTCTGTGGCGTATTCAATATGCCAAAATCCAGTAACAGTAATGGGTCTTATTCCCCTGACCCTGAAGTAGCCTCCAATGTGGCAATTGCTAAAATCTCAGAATTAGGACGAATGGAGACTAACCACTGGGTAGAAAAACTGTAAATAGATAGTTATCAAAGGAATACGATCTGGGTCTGTCTTGGTTTTAAAAGTGACAAGGTTCTGTGCTCAAGCTCATTGTGGTGAAAGGTGGGAAGTGAAGGGAGAAAAATGATGCAGGTAAGGAATTGAAGTGAAGGAACCGATGCACGCACAAGATTTCCTATGTCAAGACAGACTTTGAATAGTATAGCTGCAGGGGGACAGGCCCAGGGATGGCAAGAACTTTTCTGTGCCTTTCTGGTAACATTTTGCAAAAATCATCTTTAGTTGTTTCACTCCCCAGGGCCAGGCCAGAGATCTTTTAGTATCAAAAGATTATATTATTCATTAGGAAACTTGTACAATTATATGCATTTTGTTCTAGGAATATGAGGAATTTCTTCTATGTCTGCTCCATTTTTTTTTCTCTAAACACACTTTTCATTCTCTATCCCCCCTTTTCTAGTTTCTTTTTATGTTTTGGGAGGGGGTTTGTTTTTGAAAGGGCCGACCGGCTGTATATTGTTCCTGCCTTTATGCCCTTGATTCTTCGGCGTGAACAGAAAGTTATTTATCTACTTTTCCCCAACCATTTCACGATGTCATATTTTTAAGATCCTTTACTCCCGGGTCCCGAGAACTTTGACTAAGCATGTTACCTCGAAAAATCCTCATGGTATTTGGCTTGCTTTTTGCCCAGCCTTGAGTGTCAGTTACTCAATCAGTTTTCATGTTACTGTGGCCAAGGCAGACATCTGCAGACTCTCTGTAATGAAGCCAGACTGACTTGTTCCTCAATCAACATTATATTGTCCGATGCACAACTCTGATGTGCAATTACTGGCAGGCAATTAATACGCAAATATCTCTGTGCACAGAAATACTTAATTTGCAAAATGAAATCAAAATTAGGTCAAATTACCAAATAGGATCAGTTGGATCCAAAATTTTGGCAGATTCATGCTTTAATGAATGATTAACTCATTTTTAAATGTTCTCAAAATGAATTTATAAACATGAATTACACTCAACAAAATTTTCAGAGTGGCTTTTGAATCTCAAATATGCTCTGAAAGGAGAACAATGAAACGTCCATCCACGTTTTATAGTAGTTTTCTGAAAATGTCGTGGTCTCTGGAAGAGTGAGACATTCTGTCCATATTTCACCTGAAACACAAGCCTTTGTTTAGGCTCCTTCTCAAAGGACAACTGGAGTGTGCAGAATGCACAGGCACAGTGATTCCCTCGAGCATACAGCAGACAGAAGAGCTCAGACATGCTCTACACCCACTGAATCCAGTGCAATCAGGATTAGAGGAGAGATACCCAATTGGGGAAGCAACTGGCCTTGCATGCAGCTAATTCTGATGTGATCCAAAATCCTTCATGGCTCCCCACCTCTTGAACGCAGATCCAGAGTAAACTCTAAGCACTGCAGAGTGTGATTGCCTCCCTCCCCCCCACAACAACCCAACAAAGAAAGTACACCACATTCGAGGTAACCCCTAAGGGGATGCTCGATCTTCCAAAATCACATGATATACAAGAAAAGTCATTCCCAAGGAAACATGTCTGAGAAAATCCTGAACCAACAGAGCTGAAAGCCTACCACTATCACATAGACACATTATTCAATTTTCCAGGAAACACTAGTTGAATATAGAACAGAGCTCTCAGAACAGAATAGGGGAGATAGACGGGCAGAAAGAGACTGAGAGATAGAGACAGATAGACAGACAGGGACAGAGAGACATAGACAGCGATCATTTCCTAAGAGAAAATAGTTATCAAAGCAACAGTCAAAGCCATAAGAGAAACAATATATTCAAGATCCACTACTGTGTCTCTCCATCCTTGGTCGGGTCACAGGGCAGGAACTTCGTAGAGACTCAAAAAGCTACTTCAGAGCTGACTCAGGCAGGAGACCCCCAGGATGTTGGAGTACTGTGCCCCCACTTCCTCCTGTTCAATCAGTGACTCGAAAAAAGGCCACACTATGCAGAGGCGTGAGCAATGTTGCCTGAGTTTTGACATTCAGAGAATCCTAAGCACCATAATGTGGGACCCACTCCTTTCTCTGCCTCCCCACTCTGCAGTCCCCTATGGATCGTGGTTCGATCATATCCATGGCTGGATACCCAGTAGAGAACAGGAGAACTTCCTGCTGCTGAGTTATGAAGAGCTGAAAACGGTAACTCTGGTTCTTATGGTCGGAACCCCCTAACTATCTGCATCTTATGACCTGTTTGTTTCTCCTCCTCTGTGTCTCAATCCAACATCTCTGTAGACATATGGTAGGTCCCCAGGGTAGGACAGCTTGTGACAGTGGTGCCCCCCTTTGGAATAGCACTCCCAGTCTCCTTACTCTTGACCGTGGTTCTATGCTTCCTTTAGCAACATTGAAAGAGTGGTAGTCCCACCCAGAGATAGGTGATGCATGAAAGTCACATAGGTACTGAGTCCTCCAATGTGGTCACCATTGGGGATGCTACTCATGGGGGTGGGAATTATGCGCTGTGAAAGAAACTTGAGCTGCCCACTTGCATCTGAAGTTATTTCCTATTACCCAACATACCTCCCTAACATGAGGGTTTCCTTCTGACACCCACTCCTTTCATCCCCTGGAGAAGTTTCCAGCCACCAAAACAACTTTCCTGACATCACTTCTCATGTCAGAAATTACCTTGTGAAACATAATCAAGAGTCATGGAAAAAGAAAGTAAAATGCTTCTTAGTTCTGGGAAGAAGTAAGGTCCATTACTCACAACAAAGTCCTTCCAGAGATGCATCGTTTTTCTCATCATCTCCCGCTCCTGCTTCATGCGCCCAGTCCAATGACTGACACTGTATGACACTGTGCACATGTATGTTCCTCAGTCGGGGTTTCTGCACAGCCTTGACAGCACCACGAGAGCTGCATTTCATCCCTTTCACCTCACCATGTCAGCTTTTCACTGGACCTGTCTTGAGTGACTCTGACCACAGGTGTCTAAAGTCTTTTCAGCATCTTGTGTTCTGGACCCTGATTAACAGCAAGGCTCACCTACCCCTCAGAGAACCAAGGGGATCTGCCTTCTTCACACTCCTTGTGTTCCCTCTGACTGTTTCCAGCCTGTCCAGCTCCTGGGCAGTCAAATTTCCTAGTGCTCTTCTGCTCCTACTCCCCATCTCCCTTCTGGGCTTCTCTCTCATCTCCTCTCTGGCATCCTTCAAATCATTGCTCTTATCTTGTCTTCTTCAAGGACACAAGAAGCAGTATGCAGAAGATCTGTCGATTTCTGGGCATGGAATTAGGACCAGAATCCCTGGATTCAATCCTCGAGAATTCTTCCTTCCAGGCTATGAAAGACAATATGATGTCTAATTATTCTCTTGTGGATGGTGTTGCTATTGATCTCAAGACATCAACCATGATGAGAAAAGGTAAAGGAAAATGCTGTGTGCATGGCAGGACAACAGGGTTGATAGCAGAAGAATTTAAGTTTGTCATGGACATTGTTCATTGCTCATTGCCCTTCTCTCTGCACTGGGTGAAAATCTCTCAAAGTTATGACGTCGGCTACAGGCACTGGCAGATGCTGATTCCTGTTTTGGGATCATCTGAGTTCTGTGAGGTCAGTAGATCTATCTCCCGTCACAGAAATTCGCATGCAGATATTCAGCTTACAAAGGGGTCCTTGCGAATTCCTGACCACAACCAAACAGACCAGTCTCAATGACCTGGGGAACAGAGTGAAATTGGGCATTGTCTTGTCACTGTCCTGAACTAATAAATGTCTAAAGTAGAGTTTTTATCCTTTGGGAAGACATATCAGGTTTTTCACTCTGCAAAAAAGGGCTGGGTGGCTCCAAGTTTGTATCAGACCCTGTGTAATAAAATTCGATGAATTCCCCACCCTTGGGAGCACGATGAAGAGTTTCTCAGGCATAGACTTGGAGAAGTCCAGCTTCAAGTATGTGTGGCTAGAAGAAAGAAGGAAATGAATTTCATACTCAGCCAGGCCAGGCTGTCACCCAGGGCTGTGGTGTCAGATGACATACCATAGCATCCTAGAAGTTGGGCATGAATAAGAGACTTTCCTTGATGCTTAAAATCTAGGAGAATTTGATGTGTTACCTTTTTTTGGGGGGGCGGGGGGAAGGGAGATGATGTGAGCCATGCCAGCGATGTTCGGTATTTACTCTTGTCCTCTTGTCTCTTCACTCAGGAATTACTCTTAGAGGTTCTGGGGGACCCTGTGGAATGCCAAATATAGAAACTGGTAGGGCCATGTGGAAGGCAAAGGACTAACCCATGTATGATAGCTCTGGTCTCTGCTCAGGGACTCTTAGTCATCTACTATTTTTTTGCAATCTGTGGCTTGATTCTGATTCTTTCCTTTGGAAAAGAGACCTGTGTCCTGCAGTTCATGATGCTGCATATAGAAACAGGTAATTTGAATCACAGGCCACTTGAGGAAAGCTGATGCTTTAGAGGATGGGAACATTTTGGCAGCTGGGTGGGAATACTTTTTTCTGGTGTGAGAGGATGATAATTTTGTGGAGAGCAGGATGAGGCGCGTTCCAGGCTAATTTCTGTCTTTGAAGTGACTCCCGTTCCCTGTTAAGAAATTTAGAACTAGATTTGGAGATATATTCTGTAAGGAGTCATTGCCACAAGGAGATACTAAGACACAGCCCTAGATTGCTACCACTTATATCCTTTAAGCAGATAGTGGACAAAAGTGTGTCTGGGTAATTAGCGGAAGGAGCACTTCCTCTCATGGAGAGCAATATCCCTCAGATCCCCAAGTATTCTGACATAGAAATCCTGGCCAGTGACCTCCAGACCGAGATTAGTCTGAAGAAAATTAATCCAGTATTTTAAAGAAACAGAAGGAACTGAAGAGAAAACAAGAGAAAAGATAGAAGTCACTTGCATAGCATGCAGCCGACCTAGGGTCGGTGCAGCAACATCTACCTGAACTGACCGAGGAGTGATTCCTGAACAAAGCCCCAAGAGGAAACCCTGACACTGCCAGTTGTAGCCCAGAAATAAACAAATAAAAAAGAAATGAAAAATGGTTCTCTCACATTCCTTGCCAGTTACACTTAGTAAAGTGAAGAAACCTAGCACAGCATGACTTAATTTTGCTAAGACTTGCTTAGACTTGCTCTTAGTTTTCCTTTTCTGCATTAGTACTTGGCAGAGATAAGTTTTGTACCCAAGTCAGGAGAAGACATCTTGGTGCCAGCAGAGCTGAAATCATCTAATCAGAGTCCCTTTTTTATGTTTATCAGGTGTATCTGGAGACTGGAAAAATCACCTCACAGTGGCACAAGCAGAAACCTTTGATGAAATATACCAGGAGAAGATGAAAGATCTTCCTCCAGAGCTGTTCCCATGGGAATAAAGTTCTAGATTGTTCTGGGTCTCACATAGATGTTGATCATCGTTTAGTCTTTTCACAAGTGCATGCCAGGGGGATGATTGTTTATGATCATTCATTTCTCCCTGGTACCCTGACGAACTAGTCATTGCATCTTGGTGACATTGCTTGCATTGATTTGTGTACTGCTCTGCATACAATGCAACCCACTTTGAAAAAAGAAATATGGATGGATGTTTCTTAAAGGATAAAAATATTACAAATAATGGTGTTAATATTGTTTTAATCCAAATGTGGCTAAACCAAGGTGTGGAGATCAGAGAGTTGTGTTGGGGGCTCATGAGTAAGAGCTTTCCCAGTATTGCAGGTGTCCAGGCTGAGGAAGTGCTTGCTAGGTGTGTGGCTGCCACTTTCAAAATTGTAGCATCATCGATACCCTGAGAACCACCAGGGGTCACTCCTGATCACAGAGGAAGGAAGAGGCCCAGAGCATTTCCAGGTGAGCACCCTATAAGGAAGAGTAAAATTAAAAGGGTATTTTGACACAGTTGGCAGAGAACATCAGAATAAAGTTAAATTTAATCACACCCACTACACACATACCCTCTTCATTGGTAGGTCTTCTTAGACACGGAAACCCTCCCACTCCTCCCCACCTTCAGCTACCATATCAGCAATGCTCATCAACTTTCACACTCAGACTCACAAATCAATGCAAAGTCACCCATGTGGTCATGACTATATCAAAATATCTATGAGAATAAGATTGTAGTTTAATTGTGGAACAAGCTTGCCTATATTCTGAAATTTGTGAATTTGAGACTGGCTAGATAGACTCATGTGCTCCCATCAAAATTCTCTGTCATGGTTAGATCAAAATGAAGATCAAGGCACACTGACTGCAGATAATCATTTTTGTGGGAAACCCCGTTCTTGCAATTTTGTCTTTATGCACATAGAAAGGATAATCCTACCTGCTCTGTCTTTTACTCTGGGAAAGTCAGTATAATGGGTAGTTGACAAAATGACCTCTGTGAGGTCTCTTAGAGTGGTACCAAGAGCCAGAGCAAATCTTTTTCTTTGAATTAGACCAAAAGCTCTTTTTTTTAGAAACCATCGATGAGGGTAGGTGAGACAGAGAAGAGATCTGTATGACAATAAGAGCTGTGAATGATTATGCTGGACAAGATCTGAGGGCTAAAAGCAGGTAAGGGATATCCTTACAACATTTCAGTATTAATATAGAAAACTATAATTCCCAAATGGGTTGGGGGAGAGAGAGAGAGAGGCAGGGGTAGGCGATGCGGATTGGGGTGTAATGGGAGGGAACCTGGGGACATTGGTGCTGGGAAATGTACACTGGTGGAGAGAGGGGGGTTGGAATAGTATAGGACTGAAATCCAATCATGAATGGCTTTGTAAGGGTCTGTCTCACAGTGATTCAATAAAAAAAGTTAAAAAATTAGAGAAAAAGAAAACAAAACCATCAGGAATCAATTGATGGAGAAGTGAAGGTGATATCATGGGACAGGGTTCATCCTTCCTAGAACCCCACACTGTTGGAGCAGAATGGAAGCATGTTCAAGTCATCCTCTTCCTTCTTTCATTTTTTACTTTTCTGTGCCCTCCACAAAACTCTGACTTGACAAAACCTCCAGGAAGAATTTTCTCTGTTGTCTGCCTTAATATATGAACCCCCGCTTGCCTTTTATTGCTCCCCAAATTGATGTGCTTTGCCTTGTCATTGCCTCCTTCTTGTTCAGATTGAGAAGAAAAGGACTACGAGAGAGTAGAGAATAATTTTTTAAAAATTATTATTAGTGAAACACCATGAGGTACAGTTGTAGACTTACAAATTTTTGTGCTTGGGTTTCAATTATACAATGATCAAATACCCATCCCTCCACCAGTGCCCATTTTCCACCACCATGGATCCCAGTATTCCTCCCACACCCATCCCCCCCATCCCACCCTGCCTCTGTGGCAGGGCATTCCATTTTGTTTTCTCTATCCTTTCGGGTGTTGTGGTCTGCAAAAGAGGCATTGAGTGGCAATCATGTTCGGTCCATAGTCTATTTTCAACATGCATCTACCACCCTGGGAGGATCCTCCAAACACCCTTTATTTGGTGCTCCCCAGAAGAGAATAATTTTATTCTCTAAGCTTAAGAACACTTAAAAAAAGAACACTTTTCCTTTCCAATTGAGCACTTACATGTGATTTGTGAGAGTGAAATCAAATAAAATATTTAGAAATGAAAATCATACAGAACATCACAAAAAGTTGGTAGGCAGTAGATGCACAAAGACTATGGAATCTACCCAAATCCACTACAAAGTGCCCATTCAGGCTGCACTCCTGGGATTCTCTGTCCCAATGCCTCATGCTACACGGTCAATTAGCCAAACTTAATAGTATACTTCCCAGAAAAATTAATCAAATTATATTATTAGTCAGAGACTGTTAATCATTCACAGAGCACTTCTTTTGCATAAGTGCAGTGCTGATTTTGATCTCTATCCTATAAACCAGGCAAAGTAAAAGTTCTTCATTACTAGAGCCAGAGAGATAGCACTTGCCTTGCATGTGTAAAACCCTAGTAGATCCCAGGCATGAGATACATTAACTAGAGCATGGCCCGAGGTCACTCCTGAGCACAGAGTCAGAAGTATTTCTTGCCCTCCACCAGGTATTGTCCTATGTCAAAGAAAAGAAATTAAAATTTTAATAGATAGGTATAAAAACATTAAAAAAATAATGGGGCTGGTGTCAGGAACAAGGCGAATGGGGCGTCAGGAACAAGGCTGTTTCTCATAAACATTGTCTTCGTAAGATTCAGCTGTAGTCCTACCTTTCCACACTCACGGTCAAAGTCGGCCAGCATTTGTGCCGCTTGGCTGATGTTTGGTGTTATTAAAACAATGTCATCAGCAAAGCGGAGGTGGTGTAGCTGCCGACCATCTATCTTCACTCCCATTCCTTCCCATTCCAGTCGTCGCATGATGTTCTCGAGGGTGGCACTGAAGAGTTTCGGTGAAATGGTATCACCCTGCCGCACCCCTCTCTTGACATCAACGATCACTTCTTTGTAGAATGGTGAGATCCTGGTAGTGAATCCGCAATACAGCTCACGGAGGATCCTGATGTATTGGGCTTGAATGCCCTGATTGGCTAGGGCTTCAATGACCGCTTCCGTCTCAACAGAATCAAAGGCCTTCTTTAAATCAATGAACGTTAAACAGAGCAGCATCTTGAACTCCCGAGAAACCTCAATGAGCTTGGTTATTGTGTGGATATGGTCGATGGTGCTGAATCCTTTGGGGAACCCTGCTTGCTCGCATGGTTGTCCTTCATCTAGTGTTCTGCCAATCCTATTTAGGATGACTCGAGTGAACAACTTGTAGATGACAGACAATAGGCAGATCGGGCGATAGTTGCCAATGTCATGGATGTCTCCCTTCTTGAACAGTAGTACGGTCCTGCTGGTTTTCCATTGGGACAGAACCTTGCATTCAGACAGGTAGCGAGTGAAGAGCCGAGCCAGTGTATTGATGAGTACTGACGGCAGGTTCTTCAGGTGTTCAGGTCTGACCTTGTCTGGGCCGGGTGCTGTTTGTTTCTTTACCGACGAAATGGCGTGTCGGATTTCGGAAGGGAGAACGTTGGGAACGACATATCCATCCTGTGGAATTTGGTATGTCGGCAAGTGGACATGGCTATCGAAGAGATTTGAGTAGAAGTCATGGATAATCTTCTCCATTGCCGTTCTGGAGGATGTGATGGATCCATCAGGACGTCGGAGGGCAGTCATCTTGGTCTTATAGTTGGCGAAAGACAGGCGGGCGTTACGAATACTTTTCCCGGCTTCTGCCGCATCTACCAGTACTTCTGCTCTTCTCTCTTTTAGGTCTTCCTTGATCGCATCTCTGCACTGCTTTGCGAGCTCGGACGTTAGTTTGCGGTTGCCTGAGGCATGCGCCAAACTACGCTGGCGAATTAGCTCAAGAGTTTTCGAAGATAGGCGATTTTTTGTGGCTATCTCTCTCTTGGCGTTCCTCGCACATTCATGGAGGTGCTGAACCAGTCGATCGTATTCCTCGTCAATGTTGTCAACAATGGCATCTTCCCATGTTGCCGCAATAGTACCAAAGAGTTCCCAGTTGGTGGTCGTTCTGGGAGTTCTCTTTTTGAACTTTGCAGCCCTTTCTCCACGCTCTGTGAAGTAGAATTTTGCACGAAGGAGACGGTGGTCCGATCCCGTTCGAAATTTTGGGACAACAGCGACATCAGTCAGGCAAAACCGTCGATTGAATATGATGTGGTCTATTTCGTTGTGGAATCGTCCACCGGGAGACTCCCATGTCCATCGTTTAGATTCTGCCTTCTGGAACTGTGAGTTACCATGAATGGTCTTGGTCGACATGATGAACTCAGACAGTCTCTCACCCTGTTCGTTCCATTCTAGGCCATGGGTCCCGATGTGAAGTTCTTCAGCTGATCTTCTCGGTCCTATCTTGGCATTAAAATCACCCACAATGATCTTGTAGAAGGTGTGGTCTTCTTTATAGAACTTCTCTAGCTCCATGTAGAACTTCTCGATTTCTCTTTCATCATAATGAGATGTTGGTGCGTAGACAACGAAGATAGAAACTGCAGGCAGTGAGCCACATCTATTCAAATGTAAACGTCCGATTCGGGTTGTTAGGCATTCGAACGAATCAATGCTCTTGGCCAAGTTTGTGTTGACAAGGACACCGACGCCTCCAACACTTCTTTTATCGCATGTTCCGAGGAACAATTCTTCTCCAGTGTCGAAAACGGCATGGTGAGATTCGTGCCTTCTTGTCTCGGTCAGACCAATGATGTCGTACTTGATCATTCGCGCTTTTACCATCAGGTCCTCAATGGATGCATCTGATGCTAGCGTATGTGCATTGAAAGTACAGACGATCATTTTTGTCTTCCTTCGTTGTGGCAGCCTAGGTCGGCCTTGAGATTTTGTCGGCCTCTCCTTTCTCATCCTTCTCAGTGCTGCCATGTCGGTGAAGCCGTCAGGGTCAGGTGAATGAGACCAGTTGTAGTTACTGGTTTTGGCATATCGAATACACAACGGATAGCTTGCCAGGCTCTTCCGTGCGGGCGGAATACTCTCGGTAGCTTGCCA